GTGAATTCTATCAAACATTTAAAGAACAATTAATTCCAATACTATATAGATTATTTGGGAAAATAGATGAAGAAGGAGTTTAGCCAAATTCTTTTTATGATTACAAATATGGTGCTGATACCTAAACTGGGAAGAGTCAAAACAGAGAAAGAAAATTATAGACCAATTTGCCTAATGAATATAGATGCAAAAATTTTAAATAAAATATTAGCAAATAGATTACAGCAACTTATCACACGAATAATACATTATGACAAGGTAGGATTTATACCAAGAATGCTGGGCTGGTTCAATATTAGGAAAACTATCAGCATAACTAATCATATCAACAACAAAACTAACGGAAACCACAAGATCATCTCAATAGATGCAGAAAAAGCTTTTGACAAAATACGACACCCATTCCTATTAAAAACACTAGAGAGCATAGGAATAAATGGAGTCTTCCTTAAAATAATAAGTAACATCTACCTAAAACCTTCAGCAAGCATTATATGTAATGGGTTTAAGGTAGAAGCATTTCCAATGCTTCCATGCTCTTATTTCCAATAAGATCGGGGGTGAAGCAAGGATGTCCATTATCACCACTGTTGTTCAATATTGTACTGGAAATGCTAGCTTAACAATAAGAGAAGAAAAAGAAATTGAAGGTATTAGAATAGGTAAAGAAGAAACAAAGCTATTACTCTTTGCAGATGATATGATGATGAATCCTAGAGAATCAAGTAAAAAACTACTTGAAATAATAAACAACTTTATTGTGGTATATGAATGTAATGGAATACTATTGTGCTATAAGAAATGATGAACAGGCTGACTTCACCAAAACCTGGAAAGACTTGTATGGTCTTATGCTGAGTGAAGTGAGCAGAACCAAGAGAACGTTATACACAATAACAGCCACGTTGTGCGATGACTAATAGTGATAAACTTAACTCTTCCCAGTAATACAAGGATCTAAAACATCTTCAGAGGCCTCGTGATGGAAAATACTATCCACATCCAAAGAAAGAATTATGGAAGTTGAATTGCTTTTTTTTTTTCTCTTCTGTTGAGTTTTGTTTCCTCTTTCTGATGGTTCCTCCTATTGGTTTTAATTTTTACTTACAACATCACTAATGTGAAATATGTTTAATAGGAATGTAAATGTATAGCCTAGACCAGATTGTGCGCCGAATTGGGGAGGGTGGGGAGGAAGGGGGAGAAAAATTTTATACTGAAAAGCATATGGAAGTGATTATTGATAAATCAAAATAAATTAATAAAAAATAACAACTTTAGCAAAGTTGCAGGCTATAAAATAAACCCACATAAATCATTGGCATTTCTATATATTACCAAAAAAGCCCAATAGCAAGAGATAGAAAGAGAAATTCCATTAAATTACTGTAGACATTATAAAATATTTAGGAATCTACCTACCAAAACAAGCCAAAACAACAACTATATGAACACGATTACAAAACACTTTTCACACAAATAAAGTCAGATCTAAATAATTGGAAAAACATCAGTTGCTTATGGCCAAGCTAATATAATAAAAATGACAATTCTACCTAAGCTAATTTACTTATTCAGTGCCATACCAATCAAACCACCAAAAATTATTGTATAGAGCTAGAAAAAATAATAACAAGATTCATTTGGAAGAACAAAAGGTCCAGAATATCAAGGGAACTAATGAAAAGAAATGCAGGGGAAGGTGGTCTAGCTGTCCCTTATCTTAAATTGTATTATAAAGCAGCAGTCATCAAAACTACTTGATACTGGCTAAGAAATAGAGTTATGGATCAGTGGAATAAGTTAAGTGTGCAAGACACAGTAGTCAATGATTATACTAATCTACTATTTGATAAACCCAAAGACCTCAGCTTCTGGGATAAGAACTCACTATTTGACAAAAACTACTGGGAAAACTAGATGGCAGAAACTAGGCATAGACCAAAATCTCACACCATATACTAAAATAAAATCAAAATGAGTTCATGATTTAGATATAAAGGCTGATACTATAAGCAAACTGGGAGAGCAAGGAATAGTTTACCTGTAAGATATATGGAGAACAGAAGAATTTATGACCAAACAGGAGATAGAGAACATTATGAAAAGCAAAATGGATAATTTCGATTACATTAAATTGAAAAGTTTTTGCACAAACAAAGCCAATGCCAAGATTAGGAGGGAAGCAGAAAACTGGGAGAGAATTTTTACAACCAGTGTCTCTGATAAGGGCCTCATTTCTAAAATATATAGAGAACTAATTCAAATTTATAAGAATGCAAGTCATTCCCCAATTGATAAGTGGTCAAAGATATGAACACGCAGTTTTCAGATGAAGAAATTAAAGCCATCTATAGTCATATGAAAAAATGCTCTAAATCACTATTGATTAGAGAAATGCAAATCAAAACAACTCTGAGGTACCACATCACACCTATCAGATTGGCCATCATGACAAAACAGGTAAATGATAAATGTTAGAGAAGATGTGGGAAAATTGGAACACTACTGCATTGTTGGTGGAGTTGTGAAATGATCCAACCATTTTGAAGAGCAATTTGGAACTATGCCCAAACGGCTATAAAAACGTGCATACCTTTTGACCCAGCAATAGCACTTCTAGGGCTGTATCTCAAAGAGATGATAAAAATGGGAAAAGGACCCATATGTACAAAAATATTTATAGCAGCTCTTTTTGTGGTGGCACAGAATTGGAAATTGAGGGGATGCCCATCAATTGGTGAATGGCTGAACAAGTTGTGGTATATGGATGTAATGGAATACTATTGTGCTATAAGAAATGATGAGCAAGCAGATTTCAGAAAAACCTGGAAAGACTTGTATGGACTGATGCTGAGTGAAGTGAGCAGAACCAGGAGAACGTCGTACACAGTAACAGCCACATTACACGATGACTAACTTTGACAGACTTAGCCCTTCTCAGCAATGCAAGGATCTAAGACATCTCCAAAAGTCTCATGATGGAAAATGCTATCCACATCCAGAGAAAGAACCATGGAGTTTGAATGCTGATCCAAGCATACTATTTGCTATTTTTTTCTTCTGTTTTGTTTTGTTTCCTCTTTCTTGTGGTTCCTCTGATTGGTTCTAATTCTTCCTTACAACATGACTAATGTGAAAATATGTTTAAAAGGAATGTATATGTATAGCCTATATCAGATTGTATGCCATCTTGGGGAGGGAGGTGGGGAGAGAAAGGGAGAAAAATTTTAAACTCAAAAGCTTATGGAAGTGATTGTTGATAAATCAAAATAAATTAATAAAAATTTAAAAAAAGAACCTTGTATTGAAAATTCCTGACAAGTGGTCATCCAGTCTCCTTTTGAAGTCCATTAGTGATGTCAGTTTACTTACCTCTCAACACTACTTCCCCACTATTCCCTGCCATAGTACGTTATATGTGGTGGTGGTTTTTTGGTTTTTGTTCTGGCCTTGATCAGAACTTCAGCCCAGGAGGCTTGCTCATAAGGTTCAGTAGGATATGGGGTCCTCGAAGAGAGAGACTTTTTGTATGTGTTAGATATCTCTAGTCAGGGTACACCCAGGGTGTACCTAGTCAAAAAGACCTGAGTTAAAAGTGGTCTCAGACCTTTACTATGTCACCTTGGGCAAGTCACTTCACCTCTGTTTCCCACAGTTTCCTCAACTGTACAATGAGGATAATAATAGCACCTACCTCCCAGAGTTGTTGGAGCAATCAAAAAAAATCAATCAGTAAACATTTATTAAGCACCTACTATGTGCCAGGCATTGTGCTAAGCACTGGGGATACAAAAAGAGGCCAAAGAGGACCATCAAGGAACTCTTGATCTAAGGGGAGATGACATGCAAAGATATGCACAAAGCAAACTATATACAAGATAAATAGGAAATAACAGAGGGAAAGCACTGGAATTAAGAAGGGTTAGTTTTTAGTTGGATTTTAGTTGAAACTTAAAAGAATCCAGGGAGGCCAGTTGTCAAAGAGGAGGAGGGAAAGCATTCTAGGTATAGGGGACAGCCAAAGAGAAAGATTATATTTGTAAAGTGCTTAGCACAGTACCTGGCACATGATAGGAGCTAGCTAGCTAGCTAGTAGTAGTAGTAGCAGTAAGTAGCTCAGGGTCCAGAGTAGTAGACTATAGTCAGCACTAAATGTTTGTTGAATTAAATTGAACAGAATCATTGAGTGCAAGAATGGAATTATGGGAACTTTAGAGGTGATCTGCAGGAGTCAACTGGCCCTTATTCTTAGTTGTTGCTGAGTTTGTCCAACTCTTCATGACCTCATTTGGGGTTTTCTTGGCAAAGATACTGGAGTGGTTTGCCCTTTCCTTCTCATTTTACAGATGAGGAAGTTGAGACAAACAGGGTTAAGTGACTTGCCCAGGATCATACAGGTAAATGTCTGTGGCTGGATTTGAACTCAGGTCCTCCTGACTCCAGGCCCAGCACTCTATCCACTGCACCACCTAGCTACCCCAATTTTATAACTGGAGAAACTGGTTAAATGACTTGTCTAAGGTCACACCGATGTTTTGTGACATAGCTGAGAGAATTCCCAAACAAGATAGTACCACCAGAATCCAGCTGCTTAGTTTGGCAATCTCCACGAAAAGCCTCTCTCACATCATGCCTTATCCATCCCTGCACGTGATTTGGAACTTGATCCTGTGGGATGGGGGTGAGGTTGTAGGTGCACAGTCCAGCCTTCCCCTCACCCAGAGACTGAAGCTGCGGGGTCTTGATCTCCAGTCTTGTTTCGCCCTGGCGGGGTTCCGGGGAGTCCCGTGAGGGTCAGCGAGAGGCAGCCCTGCCCAGGGGCTGTGCGCCTGGGCTTTCTTCCTTTCCGGCCGGGAGAGGGGCGTCACTGCCCCCCTAGAGAGGTGGGTGTGGGAGGCGTGGACCCGAGCCTGGCTCACAGTGGGATGGGGGAGGGGCGGGGCTGCTGTGACGTCGGCACCGGCATTGAGACTCCCACAATGCCGGTAAGCACCAGAACCCTGGGCGGCGCCAGACTCTGCAGGTGAACAAAAGGGCTTGGGGAGGGTTGGGGAGGGTTTGGGGAGGAGGAGCTGCCCAGCCGATGGATCAGGGCACGGGGCACCGCTCTGGGAGGACACTGAACAGTCACAGCATTCCCGGGGAGCATGATGAAAACTCGACACTCGTAGGAGGGCTCTGGGATAGGGAGGGGACTTTCCAGAGCTCGGCCCAGGTCTCCTACACACTTTTTGGGGGTAAGGATGGTTCAAGAGACTATGCCCCCCTCTCTCTTCCAACATTCAGCCTTTCCCCAAATTCAATTTAGTTTCATTCTGTCAAGGCGGTAGTGTTACTTATGCTGTGTTGTCACCAGGACCCAAGGAGGGAGGAGGAGATGGGCCCGGGATGGCTCTGGGACAAAGAGGCAGGAAATACCCATGAGTGAGCTCCCTGTCCCCACCTGGAAGATTCCAATTGGCCTGCATAATGTTCCCCTCGAGAAGCCCAAATACTGAAGTCCAGGAAAGATAATAATTCTCACACAAGTGCACAGGCACACACAGAGCACTTTGAAGATGACAAAGTGCAGGGTTCCTACCAGCAAACCCTTAAAGTAGATAGTATAGGCATTATTCCCTACCTACTGTTTTTTGCATATTGAGTAATTGGGGTTGAGAGGTTAAGGGTCACACAGCTAGTTATGTTGGAGCTGGGAATCAAGCCAGACCTTCTTGATGACTGCACATTCAGCACTCTTCCCAGTGATGATTCCTAACACAACCATGGGGAGACATCCCTTTCTTCCAGGGGGATACTAGATACCTGTATTAGAGACTTCCTTCTGGTGTATCAAGGCATCAGGGAGGCCTGGATTGGTTAACTAGCTGTAGACATTATGCAGGTGAGTCACCTGAACCATCTTGCCTCCATTCCTCCACTGGAGAGTGTGTGAGAGAGAGACAGACAGACAGACAGAGACAGAGAGATAGAGACAGAGACAGAGATAGATAGAGACAGAGACAGAGGCAGACAGAGAGAGAAGCACAGGACTCTTCTCCTGGGCAATGAGAGTGTCCCTCCTTGGTAAATTAGTGAGGGAATTAGAATAGTAAGTGAAACAAGACGGATAGAGGTCTCCTTTCCCTCTACCTCGCAGGCAAAACCCCAGCCAGTACTCTGGCTTCGTTTCCTGTGGGGACGTTCCCTACCCTTAGCTACCCAGGACCCTGAGAATACCAAGGTGCCCTGTCCTCTCCAATCCCACCTCTCTCCCACAGGGAAGCTGTCCCAGTCCCTCTGCCCAGGGCGTGGGAGAGGCTGTCAGACATCCCCCTGCCCTTGTGATCATCTGGTGGCCCCTCGGTGGTGGTCAGGACCCGGAACTGAACATCCATCCATCTATCCCTCCAGGCCCCACACACCATCACCAGCTGTTGAGTCCAAGAGAGTCCTGGACGTTGCCTGCTCAGTCCAAGTAGGGTCAGGACCACCCCTGGCCCAGGTGCAGCTGAGTCAGACAACAAGACCCTGAAACCACAGGCCAGGCCAGGCCTACACAACTGGCCACCAGCACCCAGATTTAAAGAAACTTGATTCACTAAGAAGACTGGAAACCATTCCCCTCACCCCCAGGGGCACAAATATTTAATGTATTAACAGGAAAGTCAAATCCCCTCAGCCTGAGACTTCACCCTTGAGGCAGCTCCTTGTGTAGTTCCAAACCTCTTTGTCCAAGAGCTTCACTACAAAAAAAAAAAAAAATTTCCCTCCTCCTCTTCCCCCTTGGAGGATCAGGTCCATCTCTGTGTCTGCCCATGAGTGTGGGCCCCCAGCCCCTAGGAAATGGACATCAGTATCCAGAACATCCTGAGCTTTTGCTTTGGACGCTTTCTAGGGTCCAAGAACAGCCAGCCTTTCCTGGCCAAGATTGAAGGCCCTCTGCTGCAGATCATGGGCCGCCCCTCATCAGAGGCAGAAGATGCCCTTCTGGAGAATGAAATCCTCCCAGACAGCATGCCATGCTTCCTAGAGGGAGACAATACGAGCAGCACAGACACAGAACAGAATCCTTGGGATGTGGTATTATCCCCTGATGGGGAGGGATCCACAGGGGTCGTGGACAGAAGCAAGCTGCTGTGGGAGTCCAGCCTAACTCCCATCCCTGAGGCCTTGGGGGCCCCAAGCACAGAGCACCCTGCTAGCTGTAACTGTGGACAGCTGGGCCCCATAGCGCTCTTCTCTCTCCCGGAGGCCACAGAGTCTGTGACACACAACTCCTCCCAGGGTCTGTTGTCTGCCCACCACAGACAAAATGATTGGAGGATGGACACAGAAGAGAGGAAAGACATTGCTGAGCTGATGAGTTCCTTCTCACTGAGGCCTGACTCTGCCAGACAGCTGTGGCCTAAGACTCGTGTGTGCCAGGCATATTACGGAGCTACCGAGGCAGGCCGGCCCACATCAGGATACTGGGGCCCTCCTCAGCCTTTCAGTCACACAGACCCTGGTGAAGCAAGGGTCCTGCAGCCACCGCAGCTAGACCTGGGTCCCACACAAGAGTGTGCTAGCCTGAAGCCTTATTGTGAATGGTCAGACCCACAGGCACTCACAGACATGAACATACACATAGAAAAGCCATCTCAAGCACATCAGCATGAGCACGTACATAAAAAAAAACATTTTCGCATGAAAACAGACACAGACCTTTTAATTCCCAGCATCCAACCTTTTAATCCCCCTCAAAATTTTCTGTCCTACGGTAATACCCTGGGGATGGACTGAAGGATCCTGTGGGGGTCAGGGGAATGCTTCCTGGGATTTGGAAAACAAACAAGTGTCCAATAAAAGCTAAAAGACCCCCTGTCAGTTCTGTATCACTGACCTCTTTCTGTTTCATAGCCTTGGCATAGGAGCTTTGCATCTAGGGAGAGGGCACAGTTCTGGCTGGTTCCCAGGGGGTGGACATTCTTGGATTTTCAGCATGGCGCTGCCTCTGTCCCAGATGAGACTAACCTAGGTGGTCCTGATGTGAACTTCACAGATGGAGCTTATAGATTCAGAGATAGAAAGGATCTCAGATGCCATCTATTCCCAACACCCCCCAACCCATGACCAGGAAGAAGAATCGATTTACCCAAGGTCACTCAGAGAGTGAGGGTCAGAGGTATAATTTGAACTCAGGTTCTCAGACTCTGGAGTAAGGTGTTTTTGTTTTTGTTTTTTGGTTAGGCAGTGGGGTTAAGTGACTTGCCCAGGGTCACACAGCTAGTAAATGTTATGTGTCTGAGGCAGGATTTGAACTCAGGTCCTTCTGAATCCAGGGCTGGGGCTCTATCCATTGCTTTTTTTTTTTTTAACTGTAACACACCACCTTCCTATTCTTTTGTCCCCCTTCACAGAAAGGCTCTACCCCCCGTGAAATTTCAGAGCACTTTTGATGACTCCTTCCTAGGGTTAGCACCCAAACACCAATTCTACAAGGGTTCCCCCAAACTTTAACCTTCCCCAAAGTATCAGAACATCTAGGACATTTCCCCTGGAATATCAGAGCCCCCTAAAACTCCTTCCACCCATTTATCAGGAACAGTTTGGGAGCTGCTGAGTTGTATCCTCTGTGGGGCAGAAAGCTCAGTTTAGCCCCCTGCTCCTCGACGGAGTCTCCAGCCTTGGCCCTGTGGCCTAGAAGGGTCACACAGTCCTAGGATTTACAGCTGTAAAGGACTTTAAAAGCATCTAGTCTGGTTCTCTGCATGGGAGTCTGGTATCTGAGCCCCCAGCCTGGGGCCCCAAGGAAAGAGAGTATTGCTGTCCATGCCCCATGCATGTTAGTTGCCTGCCAGACAGACGCCCACTACATACCTGTCTTGCTTAGCCCATGTGTCATTGGAGAGGAGCAGAGCACAAAGCAGGTCTGCAGATAGGACCCTCCCGACCCCACCCCCCCACCCGCCTGTGGGCCTCGGGTCCTTATCCCGGGCTGGGGTGGTTCCGGTAGTAGACAGAGACAAACCGCAGCAGCTGGAAGGGCCTTATCTCTGGCCCAAGAATAGCCACTGGGGAGGAGTGGAGATGGGGGGTGGGGTTAGGGAATAACTGACTGGAGAGAACCAGTGTGAGCCTGAGGCCGGAGAGAAGTCAGATCTCATTTCTATGGTCCCTTCCTTTGGGAAGCCTGCCTTGATTACTCTGGGCACCTGCTACCTCCTTTTCATGTACTCCCTGGACCCTGAAATGGAATGCCTGGGTCCAGGTTTTCCTGTCTTGTCTTGCCTGTGTAATTGTTTCGTGGGAAATGAGAACTGGAGGGCCCTAAGAGATCAATAAATCCAACTTCAAATCTTTGAGTAGAGGAAACCCAACTGGCAGAGTGGGTACAGAGCCCAGGCATTCCTGAGTCCCACCTTAGGGCTCTTGCAGAGGATTGTAGATTCAGGGTTGGAAGGTACTTAAGGGGTCATCAAACCTAACCTTCCTCATTCTACAAATGAGAAAACTGAAACCTAAGCACTTTACAAATATCTCATTTGATTTATAAAGGAGCAACTGTCTTAAGAGGCGACATGGCTTGTACCAGGTCGCGAAGGTAATCAAACTCCCAGAGAAGTAGTATTCGAACTGAATTTTCCTGACTGCATGCTGCTCTCTCCACCTTGTCCTGTCCTCCACATGGTGGATGACTCTTGTATCATTAATCAGACTGTGAGTTCCCAGGGGCAGAGATTGTGTGGTCTCCTGCTAGGCCTCCGCACAGGGCCTAACACAGGCCATAGGTACAGGAAACTAGGTATGAATAAAGTACTTTTCCATTCACCACCCGGAACTCAGAAATAATACTCCTTCCTGGCGTGGTAGTCACTCTTCAGTTATAAAACACCTTCCGATACGTTTTCTTATTTATTCTCTATGCAGCCTTGTGAGAGAATCAGGACAATACTTCTTGTCCTCATTTTACATCTAGGGAATCTGAGACCCAGAGGGATGTATCCTTGGTCAAGTCAGCAAGCATCTATTAAGCCCCTACTATGTGCCAGCTGTAAGTAAGCCCTGGATTGGTTATCCAGAAAATCAGTGGTAAAGCCAGGACTAAAACCAAAGTCTCCTGATTGCTTATTCAGGGTCCCATGCACCAGGATCAAGTAAGAAGTGCTCCATTTGGTGTGTAAAGCCCTTCCCCACCTTTCCACTCACCTTTTCTTTCACTCTATAGTCCATGCTCTCTTGCTGTACATTTTCCACCTCCAGGCCTTTTCATTGTCAGTCCTCAATTTCTGGAGTGTTCTCCCTCCTCACCTCTGCCTCTTGGCTTCCCTTTAAGATTCAGCTCAAATCCTACATTTTCTCTGAGGTTTTTCCTAATCTTTCCTCCCTCAACAATGGCTCATGCCTCCTTCTTTGAGATTACCTGCCATCTGATAGGGACCTAGTTATTTACACATTAGAATAGAACGCAAGCTCCTTGAGGACAGGAGCTATTTTTGCCTTTCTTTGTATCCCCAGTGTTTAGCAAAGTGCTTGGCACATACAGTAAGTGCCTAATAAACATAGACTGACTGACATATATACATACACCATCCCTAACCCTAACGCAGGCCCATGATCCTGTTGTATTGCCTCTGCCTACCTGTAGCTTACAGTCTTACTCTCTTAGACCGGACCCCTAGACCATGGACCCTGTGATCCAATCCTTACAATTCATTCATTCAGTGAAGCACTATTAAGTGTTTATTATGTGCCAAGCCCTGTGCTTCTTGCTGAGGAAGATTCAAAATTAAGACACAATCCCTCTCCCCAAGGATTTGCAGTCTCTAGGTTAGAGCTGGACCTTCAGGCCTGAGTTTAAATCCTGCCTCAGACATTTACTAGATTGGGTGTTGTGGGACAAGTTATTTACACCTCTTTTGGCCTTAGTTTTCTCATCTGTAATATGGGGGTAATGAGAGCACCTCCCTCACTGGATTGTGAGGTTCAAACAAGAAAACCTATGTAAAGAGCTTTGCAAACCTTAAAAGAGCTACAGAAATGCTAGGTATTTACTATTATTATTATCATTACTCCATTTCCAGCTGCAGAACACCCCAAAGCCTGACTCCTTTTCTATAATCCCTCATCCCTACCTGCTTCCCCCACACTTGCCGGCCACTTCGCCTTCAACAAAACCTCATTATGATATAATACAAAAGAATCCTGGTCTGGGAGTGAGAAGATCTGGTTTCATTTCTCAGCCTTTGCTCTGTGACCTTGGGAAAGTCATATCGCTTCCCTGACACTCAGTTTCCTTCTCTGTAAAATGAGAGGATTTTACCATCTCATTTTTAGAATTCTAAAAGGTTCTGACATTTGATGTTCTATGATCCAAAGTTCTCTTCAGAGCTGACATTCTAGGCACCTCCCAACTTTGACATCCTGTATTCTGTATACTGAGCTTCTTTCTAGCTCTGACATTCTGGTGTTCTATGTTCTGAGTTTCCTCCTTCTGACGGTCTATACTCTCTGACATTCCCCCGACCCAGCCATATCTCTTTCCCTTGCTCGCTTCAGCAATGCACATCTACCTTCCACTTTAGGCTGCTCTCCAGCCCCACAGAGGGCTCACCCTTGACTTAGTGCTGGGGTCTTGTCTCTTTCTCCGGGGCTCTTCTAACCTGTTAGGAATATCCCACATGGTCAGAGATGTCCCAGGCCCCAGACTCCTTGGGGGCCTCACACAGCAGGCCATGGTGGGGGAGGCTCTTTGGGATTCATTTCATTTGGTGGGGGAGGGGCCTGGGAGAGGGTCCTAATCCTCTGTCCGACTATTGTTTGAAGTTGAGAACAACAATTGAAGGGCACAGAGAGCTATAGATAGGCCTGCAGCTGCCACTGTCTGTCCTAGGCTCCCTCTCCGCCTCCCCCAAGGGCACAGAGCCCAGGCATTGTCTGTGTGTGGGGCAGCACCATGGGGTGTGGGGCCCAGCCTTGGGGATGACAAGAGCAGACCCAGCCCAGCCCCACAGAAGAGTTGAAGACACATGAGCTAGATGCTCTCTGAGGTCCCTTCTGAGATTCTCTGATTTTCTGACTCTCTGAGAACTCACATCTTTGTTATGTTTAAACATTTACAAAGTGCTTTCCACATAACACCTCAGTAAAATAAGTAGTTCAAATGCTATCATCTTCGTCTTACAGATGAGGAAACTGAGGCTCAGGGTAAGTGAGGTAAGCGCTGTTATCGTCTCCGTCGTACTACTGAGGCCCCAGAAACACAGCTAGTGAGAGGCCAGGTTTAAACACAGTGAGAGCTTTTGAGTGTCAGGCTGGCGAATGGAACAGGTAGAGAGGGAGAAAGTCTCGACGGGCAGAAGTATGGAAATTCTGCCAACAGCATAAAACATTCCTTGGATTTTTCTGGGCTCAATAGGGTTCCTCCAAAGATCTTTGAAATTAAGGCCATAGTATTATTTTTATGGGGTCCAATTACTCCCTCACAGGAGGGAGGCAAGGCCAACTTGGGAGGGCGTTGAATAAAGAGTTTAAACTCTATAGAAGGCAATAAGGTGAAATGTAATGAGTGGAGCAATGAGCTTGGGAATAGGAGAACCCTGGTTTTAGCTCTGGCCCTGCCACCATCTCACTGTATAACCTTCAGTAAGTTACTTCCCCTTCTGGGCCTCGATGTACTCATCTATGAAAGGACAGAGTTGGAGTAAAGGATCTCTAAGACCCTTCAACCTCTGATGTTCTGTGGTTATTCAACATTCTCCCACTGTTCTGAGTGTGTCTGCCCTCCCTCCCTCCCACTGCAGTCTAAGCCACTCCCTACCC